CCTCTGGCCGTTGAAGAGAGAGAACGTACAGCTCAAGAACAATCTGTAAGAAGATACACTGTTTGTCGCCTTTTTTTTATTTTATTTTTTTCCTTTCATCTTTTTTGGTATTTGATTATTTCATTTTTCTTAAAATTTTATCCTTTAAAAAAATCCCAAATTATAAAGCAGTAGAAAAATTCGTGTGATTAAGAATTCTAAGTCTAAATTTGGTGTAGATAAAAATTATATTTTTAGTAAATTTTAATAAAAATTAATGAGATGTATAGTTGAAAAGTCATGATTTCTATTAAATATGTAATTAAAATTAAAATTTGATTTTGCTTTAAATTTTAATTTACTTTTATAGTTGAACCAAACATGAGCTACTTAAAATCAGTGAAAAATTGCGTTGGATTTTGAAGAAAATTGAAAGAGTTAACAAAAAGTTTGGTCCCGTTCGGACCGGCCTATCCATTTTGACGAGTAGATTGAGTTCTTTAGTCAAGAATTGGTTCTTATTGTTAAGGGATAAAATTCCAAATCGAATAAAAATGAAAATATAGATCAATTTATAAGAGTGAGAACTACTCCTTTTAATAAGGTTAACCTTTTAAGATGGAACCCCAAATCTTAATATGGTATCAGAGCCCGTTAAGTTTTAACGAGCAATTCAATCCGATTAAAATTCAAAACAAATTGAGCACACAAATTTGAATATTGATCAGTTCAAATGAGCAATCATCTTGTTGGAGCATGTTAAGGAATAAAATTTCACATCGAACAAAGATAAAAACATAGACCAATTTTTAAGAGTTTGAGTTATTCTTTTTAATAAGGTTGACATTTTAAGATGTAATTTCACATCGAACAAAGATGAAAACATAGACCAATTTTTAAGAGTTTGAGTTATTCCTTTTAATAAGATTGACATTTTAAAATGTAACCCCAAATCTTAACACTTATCAGTAGATGCAAGGATTGGACCACTCTCTACAATATGAAGTAGAAACTTTATAGTTTGTTAGGTCCATGTCTCATCTAGAAAAATAACTGTATTTTGAATATAATTATTGGTTAATTTGAATATCGGTCTTGTTCTTGATTATATCGACGTCCAAAAAAATTGCCTATGGTTTTCCAAGTTTTTGTTATAGATGTAACTAATACTTTTAATACAGCCAGAGAAGGGAGAGATTTCCAAAACTTCGACGAATGGATCCAAAGTCTTACCATTTTCAAACGAAACTGATACTCGACTGTTAAATCCGAGGATCATTAAAAAACTCAGCAATATGGAGAGGTTTGAGGCCAAACTTCAGCAAGCTCGAACAACAATTAGAGATTCACATATGAGAAATCAAAGTCAAGATCCAGACTACGTTCCAGACGGTCCTATATACTTGAATCCTAAAGCCTTTCACAGGTACATACGCGTTATT